TCAAAAATATACACTTTGGCTGGAGACCCCATAGATTTTGAGGCCCTGGGCTTCAGCCTGCTAATTCTATAAGTAAATCCTGCACTGCTTGTTGTTAATGTATACATGTTTTCGAGACATTGGGAAATGTCAGTATTTGTTTTATAAAGTACCAAGTGTTTAATGCTATTTCCAAACCAGTGTAGACAGAGTAGCATAGAATACAAATATTTTGTGACATATTTTTATGATATTGTGTGTTGGGATTGTCATTTAGCTTAGTCTGTACTGTAGTGTATTCTATTGAAACCAAAATGGTGGTGCCCATTAGAAATTGCTGCCAGTATCTCTTTATAGTGATTTATTTTCAGTAAATGGTAATTTTCTGTTTTTCACAAAATGGGCCAGCACAGTCAGGCAACAATGACATAATGCAGCAGTGAAAGTGCTAAAAAAATAGATTAATAGTCTCCAGAACAAAGTCTAAACCCCAGAGCCTAAGTTTTACTACAATGATGCAAAATAAAATTCTAGTAATAGAATTTTTGAATAGTCTGAGTGAAGGAAGTCTTTAACAATACAAAATCTATAAGAGAAAAGAGTGAATGCTAAATTGTGTAGTAGTTAAAAGTCTTAGTAATTAAACTCAGTGTAAACTTTTGACAACTGAGAGATTTTAGCTAGAACCAATCAAATTTTGAACAATGATATGTGTGGTATATCAAAGATGTGGGTGTTAATTACGGGACAGGGAATAATGAATGTTTTGACTGGATTCTTATGCAACCAGTCAGTTACTTCATAATTCCTCTACTTTCCATCCAGATCTATAAATAAAACAAAATCATTTGCAAGGTAACATTGTCATCATTTACAATAGAGGATTCCCAAATCAAAAACGAAAGCTTATTATTAACAGAGGTGGCATAAGAATGGCTATCTGGTTGTAAACACAAAGTTTATGACCAAGAGTAAGCATACCCCACCTACAAAAAAGCTGTATTGAGGACAGCAGATAGGCCTTCCTTATCCAGATTCAATTTCCTGAATGTAGATGTTGGAAGAGGTCAGACTGTTCACATCAGCAATAAAAGAAAGTTTATCCACTCGAGATAAGAGAGAAAACACTTCATATGTCAAATCCCCAGAAAAGAGACATTTTTAGGCAAATCCTAAATGAAAACTAGAGGGAGAAAAGAAATGTTCAAAAGGACATGGATAATGGAGTTACTTTTACAATTAGCAAAGAGAACTGAAAAAAAAGAATTGGGCTTTCTTCTTTTATGTGCCGTGCACTTCAAAGACATAGGCGATCACGGCTCTCCACATCTCCCTGTCCCTTATAGCTCTTAAGAAATTTTGTCTTTTTGTTATTTCTCTCAAACCTTGTTCCGCCATCCATTTGCTCAAGCCTATCAAGTATGTTATTCACTGCTTTCCTCTGTCCCTCTTGCCCTCAGTCTGTCCTGTGAATATCAGATTTTTCTCTAGCCTTCCTCCTTCATTATGTACCCCAGAAATTTCAATTGCCTCTTCCTGATGTTTTCCATCCATTTCTTTGTTTCCATTCTCTCCAAAACCTCATCGCTGCTCACATGTTTGGCACATGGTATCATTAGCATCTTTCTGTAGAATCACATTTCTGTTGCTTCAAGTCTCTTCTTTATCTTTGAGGAAATCGTCCAACATTCGCTGCCATATAAGAGGACAGATATCACGTGACAATTCAATACTCTTTTCTGTGTTTCTAACAAAATTTTCCTGTCTAGTAATACTCTGCTCAGCTTTTGGAATGCATTTTGGCCATCCCAAAACAACTTCAGATCTGTGTCAGACTTTCCATCCTTTGTAAGAACACTTCCAGATATTTAAATTTCTGTACCTGCTTGATTTTAGTATGCCTGATCTGTAATTTGCATTTTGGGCTTGCCCTTTTGGGGTTATAAACTTGAGATATTTCATTCAGTTTAATTTTTCTTTTAATAAAGGAGCAATCATGTGTGCAGATATATGAATGATGTCAAAACAAACTAGTTGCATTAGTATAAACATGGTTGGTTTAAGCTGAAATCTTCAAGAAATTGAGTACTGAATTATCTTTTCTTTTCTTTTTTTTTTATCCATGTTTGTAAGTACATGAATAACATTTCCTAAACATAAAGATACAGATATTTATATTTAACACCAAGTAACTGTCTGGACAGATTGAAACCCTCATCCAGATCACCACTTTCTCATCATACTTATGTCTTTTGTGAGGAAGTCATTCTTGAAGCATAAATCACAACATTAGAAGGTGTTTTTTGGGGTGGGTGGGGTGGATGAGTGTCTAATAGTAAGTAAGTAAGTCTGAGTAGTGTCTCTAGAAGTAGATTTCAATTCCAGTCAAAAAGTTCTTTTAGGGAAGAAAAAAAAATAATTAAAATATAATTTTGTGAAAGTTTAAATTTTTATTCTTTTTATATTTGTATGTAAATAAAATTAAATCCTCAGCATGATAAACTATGATTAATTTAAAAATTAAGATAAAATAACATTTCTAATCAAAATTAAAAATTAATAGTTAAAAATGTTTCATTTAAAATAAAGAGGATATAGTTGCAAATAAATTTTCTGTTGGTGAAAAAAAAGAAAAGAAAAAAAATAATTCACTCCTGCATTTACATGTTCTCCATGGCAAAAACTTTATAAGCAGAAAACAAAAATGGCTTACATTGGAATTATCATTCACAATCTGTGAATAATAATCAGTATAGGTTCTATCCCAGCGTACTCATTATTTTTTTAGGAACAGCCAGAGTCATCCAACTAGAAAGATAGATTTTTTTTTGTTTTGTTTTATCCACTTACTAATATTCTTTAAGATCTCATAAACATCTGCTTTAGGGAAAAACAAAAATAAATGACTGATTGCTTTTTTACAGCTTATCACTCCTTTGCAGGTTATTTAAAGCTAAAACATATTTTGGATGTCACTTAACAGTACCCATATTCCCAAGCTGTCCCCCATTTAAATACTGACCAACCTCAACACTGCTTAACTTTGGTGTTTGAATGAGAATCAGAGTTTCCAGCATTATTTGGCTGTAAGAAAATTGATAAGAACATATGCAGTATAACTATTTGGTACATTTTTTTTTTTTTTTTTTTTTTTTTTTTTTAATTTCCCCCAAACCAAGCCAATAAAGCCATGAAGATGCAAGGGTTACCAATGTAAAAGAATATGAGAAAAATAAAAAATAAAAACAGGAATTTAAAAAACAACCATTGACATTACATAAAAAATTTCTGAAGATCAAAATTAACTGGAAAGCAAGAAGCTGGTAGAGAGTTTCACAAGTGAGAAGTTCAAGAGAAGAAACTGATTGAAGTATAGAAATTACGGTTACATCTTTGCCATTTCATCTGTAAAATGAGGAGACTTTGCTGCCAACCTAACACTGCACTTAAATTCATGAAGTCTAGGTACCATAGGGAAAAGTTCATCAGAACAGTTTATGTTATATATTATATTATAGATATATTCCTTATATAAACAGTTATTAAAAATGTATTCTGTTTAGAGATTTAGCGATTTAATTTTTAGCAACCACACCTGATACCTCAACCATTATGAAACATTTCATTTAGCAAATCTATTAAATTTTTTTATCTTTCTGAATGCAAAATCTTAATTATACACAGCAATATCGAAAAAAAAAGAAAAATTTTGAAAATAAACATTTATCTTTAAATTAAATGTTAAGAATGAAAGTGGCAAATAAATAATCCATCTTAGTAACAATTTGAAATGAAAGCTCAAAGTTGGTTTGTATTACAGTTTATAAATTTCTTTAATGAAACATTATTATCATTAATAATAATATTTGACTACTTTTTTCATCTTATTTCTGTTGCTTTTTCTGTTATTCTACAACTATAAAGCAAGGATTTGAGAGTTGCGAGTAAAATCAAGAAAAATAAGATGAAAGAAAGACTAGTCATATATTAATAATAAAAACAAACATCTAAGAAATTCATAAATTATTATATCTTATATATTATTTTATATATTATTATATCTAATAGTACCAATGGAAATAAATGAATGACATGGTGGTAACATATAGTGATCAGAGACAAAGAATATAACTATGTGGTTTATTTGAGTGGTACGTGTCAATAAAGTCACTGTAGCCAAATTAGTAAAAACACTATCAGTGAAAGATAAATTCACATGGATAAGAAATAAGATTTAAAATTTTTTCAAAGGGTTATTCTTGACTTCTAATCCACACTACTGATTTATGAATCATAGAAAAATAATTTCAGGTCGGTCATAGTATTACTGGTACTATGTAACCCAGTACTACCTGCCACACAGCCAAGTCATTGGCAACTAAACTGGTTCCTGCCAAAGTGGGTATGAACATTCTTGTAAGGTCAATTGCCATCTAAGCACACAATAGGGTAGACTGGGCTCCATAGCTATGCCAGCAGCCAGTGCAGTAGTGACATGGCATTACTGGGCAGATGTCAATGGCCAGGTAGAGGATTCTCCTGATGAAATCAATGACCATGCATCCATGACCAAGGCAAGCCTTCAGGTTGAAGAACATCAGCTGTGGTATGATCTGGAGCAGTATTTGTGCAAGATATGATATGCATGAATGAATACATCTCTGACTTTCAACTCAGCTATGTGGAGCGAATTGGACAGGTGCTCAAAATGTGCAGAAACCCTACAACCACATCCAGCTATGGGACTGATGACTATGATGATGATGATAAGAATAATAATATTAAAATTGTAACAAAAATCAACAGAAATCAAACTGAAAGAAAGTGTAGTAAAAAAAAAAAATAAAAAAAAAAAAATAAAAAAATATCAATGGTTCTAACAACTGTGCCTAAACATCTAAATTGGACAGGGAATAAACAGAGAAAAAAATTGACGGTCAATTTAAAATGAATAAACTTGTCTGGGACTGAAATAGTGAAAAGATGATTTTTTGAATCTTGATAATAGGAAATATTTTTACCTTCAGATCTCGGTACACAACACCTCGTACATGCATGTGTTCCAAACCCAATATTACTTCTGCTGCATAAAACTTTACTTCCTGTTCTGAGAAAACACCATGCTGTGATAAATGGTAATGCAGATCACCGCCATTCATCAAATCAAGAATGAAACACAGTTTTTCAGGGGTTTGAAATGCATATGTCATACACACTATGAATGGACATTCCTGAAAAAAAAAAAAAAAAAACAACATATTAAGATTTGTGTGGAAAAGTCAAAACAAACACAAAACTCCAGTGTATTAGAGAAATTCTAATACTGAAGTTATTAAAAAACGAGAATGTTTCCACTAGAAAAAGTTCCTAAACAAAAAGTAAAATATTCAGAAGGAAAATTTACTGTTTTTCTTTTTCTGACATTTAAAAAACAAATGTTTCATTTTTGTGCAAGGTTTGAAGAGTCATTAATTTTCTTCAGGAATGCAGCCTGGTTCTTAGGCAACCTATCAGCACTGTTTTCTGACTATCATCTAAAATCACAATTGAAAAATATTCCCAATTCCTTGATCCGAAGATGTACAAAAAACTGAAATTAGAATTTTCTTCAGTCTAATCTCAAAAGTTGGAAATAAATAAATCAAATACATTTTAATTAAAGTTATTTAAGCATATTTTAGAAAATAACATTCCATAAGCAAATAGAAAATAAAACTGAATACTTCCAACAAGATAATTTTTAAAAAACTCAATCATTAAATTTTTTTTAAATTATTCTCCATATTTTGTAAGATATAAGAATTTTTTATGATTTATTTTATATAAATTAAAAACAAAAACAAACTTTATTAAACAGTTAAAAAGCAATTTTATAAAACTATTGAAATGCAAAATTATGAATTAAACAAGAAATCCTGTGAACAACTGGCATATTTCTTGAGATTCTTATAACTGATATAAAAATTTAATAATTTTAACTTTCAGTAAATAATAATCATACAATTATGATTCAAAAATTAAAACAATTTTATGAAACTTGACCAATCATTTTTTTGACTAATAGTTAAACAAAGATTCCCTCAAAAATAGGTAACGCCAATGATTTGCTAAAAAAATTAGCAAAGACCAAAGGATTTTTTGATTATTGAATCATATTTATTTTTTATCCTTCTTAGAACATTCAAAATTTTGGTTAAAAATCTTGTTCTTCTTACATCAGCAGAGAACCAAAGATTAGTATGGGAAATTTTAGCATCATTTTTGCAGTGAAAAACACAATAATTTGGAAATTTTTGCAAAAGTCAAATAATTGTAGGATTTTAATGAAACTTTCAGGACTTATTATCAAATGAATAAAATTATTTTAGAAAGTTTTAAAAGGAAAATCTTGGTAAAAATATTTTTTAAAGTTTGTTACTCCCAATCCTGAGTTATTTAATTTTAAGAAATTTTGAGAAATTAAATTTTATCCCAATTAATGTCTATATTAGTTATATGCAGAACTCCTTGGAGAATTTAAACCATCAATTTTTTTCATAAAACAGAAACACCATTTACCAAAAATCTGCTCTTAATAGTAAAATAAGAAATGCAATAAAACTAAGACATTATTTAATTAGAAAAGCTTTTAATTGTTTTTATGTATAAAATATATTATAGATACTATTGTCTTAAGAAAAAAAAAATTTTTTTTTCATGGATAATGAATTTTTACAAGAATTGTTTTCATTTTTTAAAATTTTCATTAAAATAATTATAAAGTTTGAAATGTTTTAAATTTCTGTATTACTTTGTCCCCATTGGGTGATATTGTTATTAAATAAAAACTATATTTACTAATCATAATTGGAAAACCTTATTACAAATCAAACATCAATATTTTTAAAAAAATTTTTGAATTTTTTTTGTAAGTGTATAAACGTGCCAATTTTTGTAGATATGGATGTTCATACATGACATTATCAGAAAATAAGAGCAACAACTATAGTAAATTTAGAGCCAAAGTATCTAAAACTCAATAAAAGATTAGATTACAGAGAATATTTTCGTAAATTTTTAAGATTACCGAGTACTTAAACATTATATAAAAAAGACACTCACATTATATTCCTCAATTATTCTTTAGAGATATATCCAATGTCAAAAAACATTAGATAAACTTCCATCTGTCATTCAAGCTGTCAACATGCCAACTCCTTAAAAAACAACTACCACCGTGTTTAAAAAAATGCATTTCTGCGATATTTTCAACAATTTCAAATGAAAACTCCTTACAGGCAATTTAAATTGGTTTTGAAATCCAGCAATGTATTTTCCTTATTGAAAATATTAAATTTAATCTATTAGCTTGAAATTAAAACTAAAATAAAAGCTTCAAGAAAGATCGTTCATTTTTAAAAAATCATAGTATTGTGAATCTGTGGAGGTACCTACTGAAAAATAGCAAAAGATTTTATCATGAACAGAAACATTTAAAAGCAAATTATCAAATGTCTAATTTGTCTATTTAACTCTGAGTGAAATGCGAAAATAATTATAGTTGTTTTCTCTCTACACAGTCTGTGTGTGTCTGTTGGTAAAGTAGGGTAATTATAAGGAATCACTCACAGCTGATTCTAACCCAGTCAACAGTATGCAGCTTTGTTTCAAATAGTCACGACTGCAGTTTAATAACACACTTTACAGCATCAAATTGTACATTGAGTTTTATTTTTATTTTTTTTTTACAAGCCTTCTTTCATTGAGATAAGCACTTTAACTTTGCAGATGACGACAAACCTTTAATTAATCTAAAGTGGCTTCGTTTTAATTTTCAGCTCAGTGTTTATTTAACACCTAAACAGGTCAGTGATTATAAATTTCTTTGGTAATCCGAGTGAGTAAAAAAAACACCAGGATGACTTCCACCTCATTTTTCAATTTTTAGTGATGAATGTAGAGCTACATTGGATTGACCTGAAGGTCAGGCTAGAGTTTGGGTTCTTCATGAAAATAGTTCACCATCACAACTTAGATGACAACAGTGCAATGGAGGTGTTTGTGCTAGTATTATAGTTAAGTGCCATACATGATATATGCTTGGGCAATAATGTATCTTTTGATATATGACTGACAAGGAAGAAGATTATTTCCTTGCAGAAGGTTGCCATTTCTTTCTGAAGTAGACTGGTTACCAATCAAAGCTAAAGAACCCAGTCTGTCCTGCTATTCAACCCATAGCTGGGAGGAGAAGAAATGGATTCATACCTTTTCTAAGTGAATCTAACAAACATGACTGGGGTTCGAATGCAGCTCTTTGAGCTCGCATTCTGAGTCAATATCCATTACACTGCAACACATATATCGTAGGTAGTGAAATTATAGGTCCCTTCAAAGTGGTTAATGATATCAAGATAAATGCAGAGAATTGTTGTAAGTTCTTGGACAAGATACTTTTTGAGTGGTGTAGGTGACAGTCAAGAGCTTTAGTCCAAAGAGTATCATATTTATCTAAGATCATGCTCCTTTATATTCTACAAAGATAACTATTGCCCTCCTTGCCAAAAATGTTTTCAAAGACACCATATTAATGAAATGCACCCACTGCCTCTCCAGATTTTAATCCACTAGAAAACTTGTAGTTAATTATCAAAAGAGATGTATAAGAAACCAGAAAAAATATTCAAGCAAAGAAAATTACTGGAAAGCTATAAAAAACTTCTGCAGGTAGGGTTTTAATCAAAACATAAAAGTAAAACATCAAAAGTAGAAAAGTTAACAAAAATCAGTTAACAAAACATTTATGAGGTTATAGAATGTCAAGGAGAGTATATTAACATATAAAATAATAATTTATTCATGCATATAGGATACTGTGTTAATAAAATATATATTTCTACAAGCTAGGTCTTTTGGATATATTTATAAATACAACATTGTTTTGTTTATAATAAAATCTAGCATTACCCAAACAAGTTATTACCAATATTTTTTTTAATGAGAACAGATATTATAAACTGAAAATTAGATGTTATATTACTCATATAAACATATCCTGAAAATTTTATCAACATCAGTTGATTAGTACAAATTTTTTTTTTGAAGACACTAAGAAAATAAAATCTGACATAAAATTATCCTCTTTTAGTTTTTGTGCTCATCCCTAACTTAGGTTTGAAAGAAACAGAAATTATCATTATCACATTGCTCAATCAGAGCAATGCGTAAGGATCTAAAGAAAAATCCCAACAGCCATATTTAATATTTAAAAGCAGATTTAATGATGAGATTTTGCAGTTTTTGACATAAATTTTTCTGAGCAAATCTTTTCTGTCCATTTATTTGTTATGAAGTGCAAATGAGGAAGAAATGGATTTTTAGCAGATGGGGTCAGGAATTAAGATAGAGCAGTGCTATTATAATTCTAACTGCATCACATTTTGCAGTAAAACCTTCAGAATGAAGCAAAGATCCAAGATTAGATAAAGGCAAAGCATTGTTGTAATAGAACAAAAAATAAAATGCATCCCTTTGAAAACAAAACACACAGAAATTGAACTTGATTAAAACAAATGAATTTAATATAATTAATCAGAGAGTAAAAAATTCCTAATGATGAACAGAGGTAAAACGTTAATGAAAGTAAGAGAAATAGATTAATGAAAATTTGAACAAAGAAAGATCTAGAAATTCCATTCACATGCACAAGAAATTCACCTGTAGATTTCAGATTTCCCTACCTCCACCTAATGAAATTAGAGAGTAAAGAGAACTGGAAAAGCCTCTAATTTAAAAATACATAAGACAAATGGAATGCTGTCTATTTAGGGAAAAGTCTTGATTATTTACCATATAAAGAGAATCAAAATAAAAGGGGGGGAAAAATCAATTTTGACTTTTGTTAATTGCAAATCTGTCTAGAGAGACATTTTTAATGCAGAGTGTTTTTATAAGTGCATTTGTATTCTGAAGACATTTAAAAAAAAAAAGAAAAAAAAAGTCCCTCTTTGAGGAAAATAGTTAAAATGAACAAAAAAAAAATTTCCCAGTTTTTTCTTCTTATTGTTTATAGGCTCAACTTAAAAATAATTATGTAAGAAGAAAGTAAAAATTCTCTTACTATACAAAGAAAATAAAATGCAAGATCTGAGAAATGTTATTTTCTTTTTGACCTGTAACAAGTTAAGTGATGAATTATACTTACCCCTGTACTGACTAGAGATAGCATGATTCTTTCATTTAATGCCAAAGTTTCACCACCCTTCATCTTAATTCTCTTCTTGTCCAAGCATTTCATAGCATACCTGAAAAGGAAAACAAAATTAGACAATGTAAGCACCAGACTTCTAAGTGTCACATAGAACACTTCTAGAAAGTACCCAAATTACAAGGAAAAAATTAATAAAAAAATCAAACTCATTAACCAAACACATGCATGCACACAGAAATATTGATTAAAATACTAATTATTATGTAAATATAAATATTTCATTCACCCCCTACCATGAAAATAGATGATAAAGCAGCAAACAAAATGTGTTATGAAAAATTACCTTTGAATTAAAATATTTTCACTCAACTAAAGTGGAAAACGTCAGTATAATTGTAGTGTTAATTTCTGAACATCTTCCCTTCATTAAGAACAAAGGATGAAATAAGGTATTTTCCTTAGAAACATTTACCATTTTTTTTAAGTGAAATATTGACTGAAGTCATTAGGCAGTAAAAAAATATATATATATATGTGCACAGCACAAATCATTTACTGAGATATCATTCATTGAAGCTTCCTCAGTAGTCAGCTTACTATACATCTTGGTTTGAGGAATCTATTCCAAATTTCCACTTTGATATATAAGCTATCAGTAATATACATTTTGTGTGTGTGTGTGACAGCCCTGAAACTTGAGAGGTGTTGGGTTATGAGAACAAAATTATACAAGAGCCTAAACATATAATAAAACTGTCTTGGAAAATATGGTGAACTTCTATCTTGACAGAAAAATAATATGATATCTCTCTCTCTCTCTCTATATATATATATATATATATATATATATATATATAGATAGATAGATAGATAGATATATATATATAGAGAGAGAGAAAATAATAATAAAAAAGGACACTACAAGAACAATGATCAATGTAAAATATAAAAGTATACAAACAAAGTCAATAAAAGAAAAACAATACTCATATTATATTGTTTATATATATATATAAGAGCTGCATTGCTTAATCTCTAATTATTCTCAATAAAAACTGGCAAAAAAGTAATCAAATCTATACAAATATTATTTAAATTCCTTCCATTTCTAAGATAAACTGATAATCCTTAAGGCAGGGACAAAGTTTCTGAGATATAACAAACAAAAATGATGGAGTATAAAAACTTATTAGTTTGTAAACCAATGTCTAATTCACCAACAAATACTGATATGACCAATTACAGATTATCAGCTGATTAATCAATTCAACCCTATTGTGTGTGCACATTTATATATATATATATATATATATATATATATATATATATATATATATATATATATACACACACACAGCATGTGATGGGTAAAATGTTGCCATTTTATATTTTTGATTTTGCTTTGTTTTTAATTTTGGCAACTGCACAGTATAATAGGGTCAGTTGGGCACTGTCAGTGAGCAAAAGAGTACCATGACACATTTCACTCTACCAGAAATTTGGAAATGGCACGCTGTACTGCTTGGCATTTGTACCAGAAGCTCCAATACAAACATTTCAATCTGAGGACAGTGCAGAGGATTCGGAAAGAGTTGGATGAGTCTAATGGTGATGACAAAGATGACAGCAGCTTGGAAAACTCACTCTGATCATTCTAAGAAGAAAAGAACTCCCAAATTTTTTGTTGAGGGCCTCAGACTCAACATGGAGGCCTATATCAAGTGCCTTGAGGATGTAGTGCTGCTGGAAGACCCTATGTTTGGCCACAAGACTCTGCACCATGCCACACAAACAGGAGAACCAAGTCATGGCTGTCAAACAATTTCTGTGATCTCATCACTCATTACAACTGGCCTCCTAACTCTGCAGAATACATCACTCTTGATTATTGTGTGTGGAGCACAGGTGAGCAAGAGACCAAAAAAAATCTCCTTGTAACACCAAAGACGAACTGAAGCCAAGGATTATGACCACATTTATCATCTTAAATAAGGAGACCATTCAGAAGAGTTGCAAGAGATTTTGAAGTCGTCTAGACACTGTGGTTGAAGCCAACAGCAATTTTATTTAATAAATTAACTCTTAAGTATTTCAAGATATTTTTATGTAATTTTTGGGAAATATATCTAGTAAAATGAGATGTCAGTGTTATTTTCAATTTTTGCATTATTTAGATGACAATTTATCCATCGCTATATATATATATATATATATATATATATATATATATATATATATATATATATAGCCATTTGCATCCTGCGATTGATATTTTCATAGGGTTTGTTGCGTGGACACATGTTGGTATTTGATCACCACCAGCATGAGTGAAGGAGTCTGATGTTGGATAAAACTGAAACTTCTAAGGATCTCAGGGCAACATCACTGATGATGTGGCTGTAGTCATCTTACTGATGTATTTCTAAACTAAGAAAAAATAGTTTCTCTCTACTACATGAAGATTGGACTGAACATGAAACTAACAGATGTGGGAAAATTAGCAAAAGCACATCAAGTTCCATTTTTTTTTTTATCATATATGTTTGCTCTGTATTTTTACAATTTATATTGAGCATTATAACGTGTCTTTGACACAAAATTTTATTATTATTGTAAATATATACATATATATCAAATCCCTAGTTTGATCTCATTCATAGGATCTGCATATAAATAAAGAACATAAGATATTAAATAAGTACAGATGACATGAAATTAAGAGAAGAGTTTAAAAACCTAAAGGTTATCACACAATAATGCTATATCTAAATAAAACAAGGATAGCAACTGAAACATATTCACCCACTAAAAATGTTTATAGCAATAACAAATAATGTTGGATTAAAAAAAAAAAGAAGCCATTTGAAAAATTACTAGATGCTTATGTTTGAGTTAAATTGTTCTGGGACAAGATTGCATAAGAATTTTAGATATATAACAATAAGTTTATCCCAATGGTTATCTAAGTTAGACATTTATCCTGATAACTAATAGCAAAAACCTATTCAAGATATTATGAAGAATAACTTTGTAAATGACCAAAATATGTGTTGCCAATAATGTTCTGAAAAAGAGATAACTGAAATCTTTTGAGAAAAAAAACTTTCTTTGAAAATATATAGTAAATTTTAAATTGTGAAATGGAGGTTCTCTCATTTGAATAGATACAGGTAGTAACTGCTGTGTTAATTTTAAATATTTTTGCCTACCAAATTCCATTTAATCAGTTTGACAATACAGACCATTAGAGATCAAAGAACAGTGGAAAAAAAAGAAACATCATCTCAAATGAAGCCTGCTCTTATGTGTATCTCTCTAAATATAATAATGCACCAGTTTATGGATCCATAGTTAAAATTGTTTTCCTTTGTATTGCAAACTATCAAATGAGAAGTGTGAAAAGCCAATCTTAAATATTAGTGATAGGCAACAACAAAACCTGCAGAGGTGCTTTGAAACAGACACTGGAAGCAATTAGACGTTTAATAAAAGATCAAGCAGGAGTAAAAATAAATTCCTCCACTTTCTGAATCAGAAATTTTAAACTTTCTATTTAAAGAGACTCACAACATAAACGGCTAAGGAAATAGAATGTTGGATAGTGTGTCTCCTTAAAGCTAGCAGCCTTTTCAGGAAAATCAATGCGGAGAAGCAAATAAAAACAATATGAAGGGAAATAAATTTAATTACTTTGTGACAATAGTCATACAAACTTCCGTACGAAAGTTGTAACCATTTAAATGCTTTCTGCTGACGTATATATAACATTTATAACTTTACAATATCGAATTTTATTCTGTAAATATATAAGAATTATGAAAGATTTAGCCTCAACTGAATAAAAACTTTGAAAATGATTAAGATGTGAAATTAGAATAGCTAATGTCATCAGGTAATTTAAACCTGCCTCTTAAATTTCATTACAAATTTCTCTTTTGAAAAATTTGAGAGTGTTTAGTGCAAACTGATTATTCCAGTTTCTGTTTGCATGATAAAAGTTTTGTACAGTAAAATCTTTCGCAAATACTGAACTGATTTTCCTGAAATCATTAATGCTATTTATTTACATAAAAAATGAGCCTTTTGGCTTTTGATGAGCTGAAATCATACAAAGAACACAATTAAAATCTTTTGAAGAATTGGCCCAAAATATTTTGGTAAAGAGAAACCATCAAAATGGATAAAATATCGAAGGAGCTGATTCAGTCATTCAAATGTACAATCTAGTATGATCAGAAAAATTAAGCAACATCAAGTCGGCTAAGTACCTAGATTAGTGACCACTTGAGAATATCAGGTGCTATATGCTTGGATGTGCAGATGGTGCAATGGATAACAGCTTGGAATTAGAGATCAGCGAGCAGAGTTCCAATTTCAATCAGGTTTGTTGTATTTGCTTATAGGCAAATACCCTTGGGAAAAGTAAAAATCCATCTCTTATCCCTCAAAATTCTTAGAGTCTAAAAAAAAATATTTTATGACTTTAAATAACCCCAAAAAGTTTGATAAACTATAAAAAAAAATCAATTCAATAATAAAATAACACTTGCTTATAACGCTGTAGATGGATGAGAAAACTCAATTCTATTAACACTGAACTGAGGTCTCCTCAAAACAAGGTAATTGTTGTATTAATTTGCATCAGAAATAGTGTAATACCATTTTTATTCCTGATTATAAGACATGACATGCAAACCACCACGTGGGACTTGATAAGACTCATAGTCTCATTGATAGAAGTTGTTACTGATACTCTTTGCCCATAATAGCAATGGCGAACTGACAATTAGCCAACTAACTGTGAAAGCCATTTTGGACAATCAATGCAGCACCACCCAACTTGTTTGCTTCTTAGCAATTCTTTAAGTTTTGCCATAATGCAAATATCTTTGTACAAAGCAGTGGCTTTTTATCAACATACTTTTAGTGATGCAGCTGTTTTAAAAAAAAACAGTAAAGGGTCTGAAAGATGCCAATCCAATCCTTCAAATGCATACAAGCAAAACAGGAAGAGAGTAATTTCCTCACAAAATCATCCAGGATTGGTTTCAAGTCAACATTTTACAGCAAGAGAAAATAAAAAAAAAAAATTAA